GATCCCGTCCTGCAAAAGGAATACAATAGGGTTCTAGCGGAATATGAAACGCTTGGGCATATGTCGAAAATAACAAATCCCATACCCGCAGACTCGTCTGATAATTATTTTCTGCCGCACCACGCTGTTATAAAGGCAGAAAGTACTTCAACGAAAGTACGCGTGGTGTTCAATGCCTCAAGCCCAACGGCGAATGGCAACAGCCTAAATGACGTACTTTTCCCAGGACCAGTACTTCAGGCAGATCTTCCGATACTAATACTCCGTTGGAGACTATACAAATATGTGTTCAACAGTGACATCGAGAAGATGTATAGGCAAATTCTGGTACATAACAACCATACTAAGTATCAGAGGATTATTTTTCGCACTAACCCGAATGACCCGATCAGTCTGTACGAATTAAAGACTGTCACGTTCGGCATCAATTGTGCTCCTTATCTGGCTATAAGGACACTTTTACAATTAGCTGACGATGTGCAAAGCTCCCATCCAATAGCATCTAACATACTACGAAAATGCATGTATGTCGACGATGTATTGTCTGGTGGACACACTATCGATTCAGCAATAAAAGCCAGAGATGAGATATCGGAAGTGTTGCAATCAGCCGGTTTTCCACTTCGAAAGTGGACAGCCAATAGCGAGCAAATACTTAATGGCATACCAAAAACAGATCTACTTAGCGAAGATTTTTTGGCATTTGAAGATACCAGCGCAGTCAAGGCTCTTGGAATAAGATGGAATGCCCATACGGATCTTTTCTATTTTATAGCAAGGCCATTGGAGAAAAGCGATGCTGTTACGAAAAGAGCGATACTATCTGCCATTGCTAAACTCTTCGATCCGCTGGGGTGGCTTGCGCCTATCATAATCGTAGCCAAAATCCTTATGCAAAATATTTGGCTGGAAGGCACAGATTGGGATGAGACTGTGTCTTCGACCACTCTAGACCGATGGCAGAATTTTACCCAACATTATAACGAAATTGATAAGGTTCGTATACCGCGATGGGTATACTTTTCTCCAACGGATGAAATACAAATACACGGATTCTGTGACGCGTCGGAGAAAGCATATGCCGCCTCTGTGTATATGCGTGTCAAAAGAGATAGCAAAGTTTTTATTAACCTGCTTTTGGCAAAAACCAGAGTTGCTCCTGTTAAAACCATATCGCTACCCCGACTGGAACTTTGCGGAGCGGTACTATTGGCGGAAATAGTTGATTCAGTAATCAACAATCTCAACTTAGGGCATATCAACATACATCTGTGGACCGATTCCACAATTGTTCTCGCTTGGATTCGCAAGCCTCCGTGTTCATGGTCAACTTTCGTTGCCCATAGAATCACAAAAATTGTAGAGAAAGTCGGAAACAAGAATTGGCTGCATGTGGATTCGGCATCAAATCCAGCAGACTTAGCGAGCAGAGGACTTCCAGCATATGAATTGGTCAACAATTCGTTGTGGTGGCAGGGACCTTCTTGGTTACAAGAAGGTAACCCAAAATGGCCCACCCAGGAAACAGACTACAGCACAGTAGTTGAGGAAAAAAGAACGCACGTTTATACAACCAAAGTAAATTATAC